TCCCTCCCTCCCTCTCTCCCTGCTCACAAAGAGGTCATGTGAACACAGAGTGAGAAGACAGCCACTTGCAACCCAAGAAGAGATCCCTCTAGCCTCTAGAGTGTGAGAAAATTAATTTCTGTCACTTAAGCTACCTAGTCTATGGTATTATCTGTTAATGACAGCCCAAGTCTATTATGGTAGCCCCAGAAGACTAATACAAGCCCTGAGCACCAACAACCCCAAGAGTAACCTGGATGTCACCCAGCACCTATTTGGCAGCCCAGGAAGCCTTCTCAGCTTAGAAACATTGAGCAGAGACTAGTAGTCTCCACCAAGCTCTGTCTAAATTACAGAATGGTGAGAAAAGGAATTGAATGGCTATTTTGGTGGCTTTTTTGGTTTTGGTTTTGTTTTGAGACAGGATCTCACTCTGTCACCCAGGCTGGAGTACAGTAGCTCAATCTCAGCTCACTACAAACTCCACCTCCTAGGCTCAAACTATCCTTCTGCCTCAGCCTCCTGAGAGGCTGGGACCACAGGCACACACCATGCTGTTATTTTATACCACTGTGGTAGGTGTTACAGCAGCAATAGGTAACTGAAACAACAGAGCTTTTTTTGAACTATTGCTACGGTGTAGACTCTGTGTTTCCTTCAGGGTAGTTAACAAAGGCAAATAAAAATTTTATTTTGAAATTATAATTTAAGTTGCTGGAATATGTGTGCATTTGATATTACCTTGAAAGTGAACTATATGAGTAATGACATCATGAGCATTATAAAGAATTAAAATGTACAGGCTTTGTGCTCTGACAGAGAGCTGTTACAATGGTTATATGGGTAACTGAGAAAATAGGTAGGATATTAACAGGGGATGGATATGAAACAAAAGTTTATATCCCTTCCAGGTGCGTTGGCTCATGCCTATAATCCCAGAACTTTGGAAGGCTGAGGCAGGTGGATCACCTGAGGTCAGGAATTCTACAGCAGCCTGGCCAACATGGTGAAACCCCAACTCTACTAAAAATACAAAAATTAGCTGAGCATGGTGGTGGCATGCCTGTAATCCCAGCTACTTGGGAGGCTGAGGCTGGAGAATCGCTTGAATCCAGGAGGTGGAGGTTACAGTGAGTGGAAATTGTGCCATTGCACTCCAGCCTGGGTGACAAGAGCAAAACTCCATCTCAAAAAAAAAAAATAAAAAGTTTATATCCCAAACAGATGTGAGTAGTGATGGTACTGCATTCCACCACTTCCATCAAATATCATTTTTTAAAACCCACATAACATTGAAAGGCTTATGTTAGTAATTAAATTAATTCAGGTGAAGAAGAGAAATCTTTGATGTTGTCCGCTAATCTTTTTCAACACTGCACAAATTAAGCTCTGGGTGGCCATTCCAAAACAGCAGACTGAAACTCGCATCATCTGAAATTAGGTCGTTTTAAGATTTAGAATCTTGTTTTATAGGAAATCATGGGTTTTATTCTCCTTGGATATGAAGTGAAATGAAGGGTGCTACCTAATGTTAATAGACAAGAGGACTTGGAAACACCAGTGTCACCCTGTGGGCCAGATAACGGCTTATCCAGCTCAGCACGTTATGCCTGCTAAGCAACTGGAAAATATAGTCCTCCTCCTTGGTAATCACCTTGACGATTAGGTAACTGTGAGCCAAAAGAATTGTTCAAATATGGTATTGAACTCTCCAGTTTCTCCTCTCATGCTCTCTAGGTGTTTGCTGAGAGCAAAGATGAGACTGCTTTGGTTCTGTTTTTCCTTCCTCTAGTCTAAGCTTTTACATACCTCCATAGAACCTCTTTGAAATGATTTTAATTTACAAGCCTATTTCTTCCACTAGATGATGAGCCCAACTAGAGTGAAGGCCATGTCAACTTTATCTAGGTGTCTCTCGGGTATGAGCTCCTTATCATCCCACACTCTTCCCTTGTCCCACACCCACTCCACCTGTGTCTTAATCATGACTTTTGGGCATTTCCCATTGGTTTCCCAACCCTAGAAAAATGGGACAAATGTGGTTGCAAGTTTCTAATGTGGTTTGTGAAAACAGTCTACATAAATAGAATCCCCCCAAATTAGTGGAGCATGGAAAGAACACAGACGTAAGGATTCATATTAAGATCATCTGGGCCGGGCGCGGTGGCTCAAGCCTGTAATCCCAGCACTTTGGGAGGCCGAGGCCGGTGGATCACGAAGTCAAGAGATCGAGACCATCCTGGTCAACATGGTGAAACCCCGTCTCTACTAAAACTACAAAAAATTAGCTGGGCATGGTGGCACGTGCCTGTAATCC